GAATCAGGGGCTAATTTTGTTACCATGTTGCATAATTACCTAGAGTTGGTTCGTGTTCTCACGGCAGCATTTACAAGCGGACCAGATAAAATGCTAAGTGCAAGAAAGCTGATCTTGATTGGTCAGAATTTCCATGAGGGAAAAATCCAGGAAGTAAGCAAACGTTGAAGAAGAGCACATTTGCAAGATAGAATGACACTTTCTAATGTCACAACGGAGGGACAACTACGCAGGTTGATTTTAGAGCTGCTCATCGTGGACTATATTGCTGTCATTGTTCATTTTAGTCAAACCATACAGTTTGAAAACGAGGCGCGGCTCCAACTAGAAAACAATGTTTTGATGCATTGGATGTGCTGAATGTGCATATTAAGGCAGTACAGGAGGAGGTGCACATTAATAATCCTCCAGGACTGTAACATGATCATGTTTAACCCAAACAATGTGTCATGTGACTGCAGTTGGTTCAGATCCAGGTCGGAACACGTTCTCACCACAAACGAACCGCACCAGAGTTTGAGGCCTTCTTGAAGAGGTGGTCTCGGGCTGGTTACAAACGAACTGCACCAGAGTTTGTTTGTAACCTGACCGAGACTACGTCTTCAAGAAGGTCTCGGTCCGGTTGCTTTGGTGCGCACCCGAGTGCGGTTGCTGTGTTCACACTTGTCCAAACGAACTGCACTTAGGGGGCAAGTGGACTTAAGTTTGATTGAACCGAACCAAACAGGGCAGGTGTGAAAGCACCCTGAAACAAAGCAGATAAACCAGCCGATAGTTTCTATGCATTTTTACTTTCAGTATATCAGAAATTTATGAGCAGGTTTCAACCAAAAGAATGAAGATAACTCTACAACTGCAGCGCATTTGACAACAGACAAAGAGGCAGCAGCATCCTCTCTGCTTATATTGTTCCCTGATGAGAGATCTAAAAATGCGCAGCCCGTAGCACAAGTGTTTGTTTACATCATAAGAAATAATACTCTCTCTCAGACAAGGGGTCTCTGAGGCCTTGATAAGGATCATGGGTATTTATTACACCCAGCAGAGCCCTTTCAGTGAATTGTTTGATAATCATCTAGCACACGCTAGAGAGGATTTCTGAATCTGGATGCTAATATTGCCTGTGTTTTTATGCATAATGACAAACAATGGAGACAAAGCCAGCGACACGGGGGTGAACAGAGAGCGCTGTCAGACCAGAGTCCGTGAAAATCCCTGAGCATCGAGAGCACAGAGGACAGTTTAAATGTGGATGGAGATCTTGGTTATACTATACAATGTACATCCCTTGAGACCGACATTGTGTGTCCTGTAATTGCCCCGAGTCTGCCTCTCTGGTCTCAGTCTCCGCTGGGGGTGACATCTCGTCTCAAATGCAGAGAGGGGGAAGATATCTACAGACCAATCACAGCCCAGTTAGTCAAAACCCCCATCAGCTGGTCACAGCTCCATCTCTCACACTCCTCTCACTCCTCCTGGGGAGAAAAGCACTGGGCTGAAGCCAATTCAAAACTACAGGGTCAGCCGCACACACACACACACACACACACACACACACACACACACACACACACACACACACACACACACACACACAGAGCAGCAGAGAAAGACCTTGACCTGCTCATTCTCCTCCAAAACCTCAATGCCAAAGCTTCGGCTCTAAATAAATACAGCCTTCAAAGGGAGAGATAGTTTAACCCTCTGGAACCAACACTTTGTTTCAGCCCTGGTTTGACTGATAATCCCTCACAAATCCTAAATCTCTGTGGGATTCACAGTCAGCCAAAGGGGCAGAAATATACATGCAGACACAAAGAGCTTACAAAACATGCAAAAATTCAAATCAAAGCTTGTATCCATTGGAAAATTTGGAAGCAAGTACGGGATAGAGTAAATGATACCAAAGGTTTGGGGCATACAGAATGAGTGGTGATATAGATACATAAAGACGATGTGGTCATGGATTAATATCATCACATGAAAGCCACATCTTCTGTTTCAGTTGAAGCAAGTGGGACTGAGAAGCCGTTGCACACACACGCCCACAGATGAATATTTGCATATTCACACAGACTATCCAACTGACACACAGGGACATAACCAGGACGTTAGAAATAAGAGTCTATTAGTTTGATCCCCACCCCCACTGCTTCTGGTGGAATATTTTAAAGCCTTTAGTATAAATCATTGCATTTTGGGAGAACACATTATTACTCTAGTCCTTAGGCTCAAAGAAAATAATCAACAGGCTCCAGATCAATTGCATCATGTGTGCAAGTTCTTGAGCAGCACAAAGAAGATTTCCCCAAGGAGGACTTCATTTTTACGTCTGTAATTCTCTTGGAAATAATGTCAATCAGAAATATATGTATTGCCGACGTAAGGCCCAGACACAACACCCTGACATCAAAGAAACAGTGGCGACAAAGGGTGGCTGTTGCGACCCCTAACATTGCTTGCTTCTCAGCCAGAAAGTTGTACCTGAACACACCGCAAAGACTACAGCCAACAGCCAACTAGCAAGTACGTTCTGCACCTGCGTGAAAGAAAATAACTCTCCACACCAGCAGGCAGCAGTAGTCTGTATTTGTAATTCAAAAACGAAAACCGGAAGATCAACAAGACAGATTCAAGATGCTAGTTTGCCAGTGAGCACCTTTACAACACATCTGACAATTAAAGAACAAGGGATACAGTAACAATAACACAATTATGAATTCATTCTGCTAAAGAGCTTAATGGCTCATAAAAATAATCCTACCTAACATTAACAACTTTGTGTCAGTCTCACTCCCTCTTGACTTAAGTCATTTGTTTGCTTTGGTTTGGCTTTAGAATCTTACGGGACGTGAACGCTGCTCTCTTGGGTGAAAGTCGTTGGGTGTTTGGTGGACCACTCAACAACCCTGCTGCCTGCCCCAGTTGGACTTTCCCCACCTTAAATTTCATCCTTGTCCCATCGCAATTCCCCCAATGTGGCAACTGGCTGTGTATCATGCCGATGTTAAAGGATGCCTTTTTTCACTGGTTTCTGACGCTGCAAGGCACTGGCCAGGCACTGGATTTCAACAACTTCACACCATTTCACACCAGCAGGCAGCAGAGGTCTGTATTCGTCAAAGCATTAGATCGACAAGACAGATTCAAGATGCTACTTTGCCAGTAAGCACATTAGCAACACAGCTGACATTGAAAGAACAAGTGACATTTATCGTGTGCTGCTAAACATAACACAAACAGTTATGATTAATTTCTGCTGAAGAGCTTAATGACTAAAAAAATAACCTTATCTAACATAACAAGTTCAATTTTTCTCGCACCCTCGACATTAGTCGTTTCTTTGCTCTCCTAACTTGTGTTTCTCTTCTTGTGCACTGACCTGAACTGTCAATCAGAGTGATTTCATTCATTGACAGGCTCCCCCGTCTCCAACACTGATTCAAGGTCTAAAATTAGAAACACTTATATCCATCGATGAATCCAAGGGCGTCACAAATAATGTGGTGACAGAGACATGTGCTCGTGTCTCTTGAGAGGCCACTATGTTTGAATAGTTGTTGTTTTATTGTGAATTTTTGTATTATATGTTTATTTGTTGCATTTTAAGGGTGTTCTGATTGGCTGCTACCTTGGCCAGGTCTCAGTGGGACTTCCCGGTTAAATAAAATAAATAAATAATACTGAATCGGCATAAAAAAAAAGCAGACAAGGGCCGACTAGTGGTCATAGTGCATGACACACTGCAAAAACAAGGGTGACAGATGCTCACTGATGACCTGACATTGACCAACGGCCGATCGTCATGTTGGTGTATCAGCACCCTAAGGACAGTAAAAGTCCTAATATTCTAAACAAGCTTCCAAACCATATTCCAGTACAGATGAGGACTGGTTTTGTCTGTTCTGCTGATCAGCCAACAAGCCTGCTTTTACTCTAGATAGTGTCAGGTTTAGCCTTGGGTTGTAAATACACTATGTTGTTGAATGCCCTCAACAAAAACCACAGAAGTCTTGACATCTGCCTCCTCAACGGCCTACAGACACACCAATCAAAAGCCTCCCTGTATGTAAACAGCAGCCATTCAGTGGAGCCCTCTCAGCTGGTAAGGCATATGATTCAGACACTTCTGAAGAAAGGTCACTATCAGCCCTGTGAAAACAAGAGGCCCTCTCAGTCTGGCTCCAGGACTGCGACAGCCTACCCAGCTGGGCGCTCTTCATTCACTGCCCCTGCCATCGATAGCCCATCGGCCTATTCATCACAGCAAAGAGCCTGGGCGCATATCCTCATGGGCCTGGTTGATCCACCCACGCTGAATGCTGCTGAGGTAAGTCACTGGACAGGTGAGGCCAGAGTAGATTAATAATCCCAGCGTAAATCTTTCTCCCCCCTCACACACCCTAAAGGAAATCACAGACAGGGTGAAAGCTCCTCAGGATCTCCTCTGCACTCTCTGCTTATTGATCTGCAGCGACTCCATCCTCATCATTCACCGTGACAGCAACCACTCACACTTCTGCAAAGTGCAGCAGAGCTGAAAATGTGGAGGAGGCATCACACTGGTATTTACCTATGGCTCGGTTTCTGAGCTTATTTTGATGTCGAGCACATGAGTGAAATATGGCCTTTTACACATGACGCGCTCTTTCTGACTGACAGCGGGCTTTCACATAAATGATGGAGGAGGCTGAGCAGGTGACAGCCCCTTTTGTGCCATGTAAACACCTCCGGCACATCGCAGAAACAACCACCTCTGCAAGCTACTCAACCTGTGTTTAGTCTGTAAAGCTATATTTTCTCCAAAGTGACAGATTTGTGTGGATAAATTTAAACAATTACTTAAATCAGGTGTCTTAAATCTTGAACAAAATGTTTTTAAAGTGGATGTGAGGCTGGATTTTGCAGTGTATGTGCATTAAACATGTGTAGCTTTCATTCACTGACAGGTGGAGGTCCCTTTTGTGCCACATGGCCATCACCATCCAGGTCCCTCTTACCTTATTAGAGTAGGGCGGCTTGGCGAGGTTGATGCCGTCTCTGATAAGCTTATCCCTGATCATGATCTTCAGCTTCAGCTTGGGGTAAATCACCAGCTCCCTCCTGTTGCCCAGCGTCAGGTTCCTCTGCGCGCCCATGTACCCACCGTTGCGCCCAACCCGGTCACTGTTGGGCTCGGTCCAGGACTTGGATCCCCGCAGTTTGGACTCATACTGGTCCACCATGTGACTGGTGTAAATCTCGGCCGCGGGTGGCATCGGCTCCAGGGTGAAGTAGAGTCCACTGGCCGTCTCGTTGGCTTCATCTTTCAGCCTCCTCACCGCGTCGTGGACCCTCTGCCGGTGGTGAGGGATGTAGACGCCGATGGCATCCAGGTCGGGGTCTCCTATTTGTTTGCACACCTCCAGGTCGTCGTATCCGTTATCCACAAAAGCCTCCACGTACTGGGCGAGCTGGAGGGTCTTCAGCCACTCGTAAACGATGACAGGTCCGTTGCTTGTCATTTTGGCTGTTGCCAGATCGGCTACAACTCGGAGGGAAGAGGACGCTAAAGTGATGGTTACTTTCCCATTCGGTGTTTTAAACGCATTATAAGGTCCTTAATAACAACGTGCGCTCTCTCCGAGTGTTAGGAAAGTAAAGATGCCTGCGTTAAATGATTTTTGGATCATCCATGCCAAAGGTTTGGCAACCATCCCCGACCGTGTGCGTCCTCGGTGTTTTATTAAGTGAATTCAAGGCTGAGTCTGACAGTCTGTAACACCTGTCAATATTTACAACAATCACTTGAAGCAGCTTTCAAATCCCAAATGTCCTCTCAGCATCACAGTCTATTACTCCCAATAATTACCCTCTCTTAAACAAATAAGAAAGCCTCAAACTATTGTCACTCAAATAGCCGCTCGACCAGATTGCGTCCGTTACGCACGGCAGCTGCTGCGTCTTAAAAATCGTTTTCACGGCTTACCCTCCGTCCTTATAGTCCCTCTGTAGCACCGCGTTGAAGAAATAAATCCACAAGATGCCAAACGAGCTTCAAAAATGACACAAAGTCCACCGCCGACGAGTGACGGCAACCGCACGGTTCCGCGTCCTACCGCTCAGTAGTCCAGCCGGCACATCACCACACTGGAGCCGCAGCCAAGAGCCAACATGCTCACTGCTGCTCCTCTACCGTCCACGCCCCCCAAATCTCACTGTACCCATTTAAAAATAGTGATGCGAGTCTCCTTTTCTTCCCCCCCACTCTCCCAACTTGTCACGCCGCCTCGGGGGCACACTCAGTGGGTCACCAGGTTCCCACCGACTTGGCTAAAGTTGGTCCGGAGCGAAGGCGCGCGTTAAAACCTGTCGCACAGTTGACATGAATATCCGAGGCTGCTGGTTTGTGTCACATTATTCTTCCCCTACGATGTGATTTTGTTCACCGCACCTCTCTCTGTCTCTCTCTGTCTCCCTCTCATACACACACACACACACACTCTCTCTCTCTCTCTCTCTCACTCATTCAGCATTTCCACGGTTTGGTTTCTGCACACGCATGAGCTCCCTCTATGTGGTGAGTGGGGAACTGGAGGTTTTTGCAGCACTGGAGCTGATGTAATAGGAGAAAGTGAGTGGAGAAAGTGAGGTATTCATACAGTCATCCACCCAGCCAACTATCCATTAAATGTATAAACACACACTTCATGCAGTTTCTTTTTGACTTTACAACATAACACACACACACACACACACACCCACAGATGCATATTTGCATATTCACACAGACTATTCAACTGACACACAGGGACATAACCAGGATGTTAGAAATAAGAGTCTATTAGTTTGATCCCCACCCCCACAACTTATGGTGGAATATTTGAAAGTCTTTAGTATAAATCCATGCAGTTAAAGAAAACACATCATTACTCCAGTCCTTTGCTGTTGTTCCTGGCTTCATGTGAGTAGAGGAAAAGTCTGCTAGTCGCTATGCTAATATATACAACGTAAAATGCCATAGGCTTGTGCTAAAAACATTAGCATGTTGTATTTGTGGGAAAAATGTGTCCAGATAAAGACGAGTGTTTGTCTGTGAATGCTGTGAGTTATAGTGAAGCTGATTTGTGTGCTTGTGTTTGAAATTGTCTCTATTAAGCCATGTTTAATGTGTGTTTAATGTGTGTTTAATGTGTGTTTTGAATCAACTAAACTTTACAGCACTTCACAGAAACCCTGCTGCCGACTAGTGTTTTCGGAGGTGTAACTGCAGAGTGACACAGACACACCACCGCACAAGTATAAATGCTCACAACAGCGTAGGTGAAGTGCGGAGGCTACAGCATAGGGTCTGCTGCACAGGTATAAATCCCCCTGTGGGCCCTAAGGAGGACTTCATTTCCAAGTCTGTTATTCCCAGGGAAATAATGTTAATCAGAAATGTAGGCTATGTATTGCTGACTTAAGGCCCACAAACAACAGACTGACATCAAAGCAGTAGTGTTGATGAAGAGTGACTGTTGCGTCCATTAACATTACTTGTGTCTTGGCCAAAGAGTTGCACCTGAACACACCACAAAGACTACAGTCATTGGCCAACTGACAGGTACGTTCTGGGCCTGAGTGAGCAACACATTCTCACTTCGACCTCGTCACATATTGACATTTGGTCATGGACTTTCAACGTCCACACAACGTGCAATGTACCCTGGGTGTGGTGGTTGTTAACGTTCTGGGACACCATGTCAAGTTCTGCCTGTTACATGCATTGTCAGGAAATTTACCTTTTACATACAGTCTCTTTCAAAATGAACGCCCTACGTCTGTACAGCACCTCAAACCCAACACATTGTCGGGCTTAGGCAACAAAAATATGTGGTTGGGATTGGGAAAAAAGAACAGGGTTTGGAATCATCAAGGATGCGAACACCGCTCTGTCAGGGGAAAGTCGGTGTTTGTTGGACCCATACACCACACCTCCCGCTCACCCCACCCGGACTTTTGCTGCCTTAACTTACATCCTTGTCCAGCCACGTTTCCTCTTGATGCTGCCGGGCACCATTAAACTATACCAGCAACCGGCCGCGTATCATGCTGACGTTAAAGGACACCCTTTTTCGTTGATTTCTGATTCCGCTAGTCACTGCCCAAGTGCCGGATTTTGACAACTTCGGAGTGAGACCAGGCTCACATGAGAGGAAATCAATCTCCACACCAGCAGTCAGCGGTGGTCTGTATTCGTTATTCAAAAACAGAAACCAGAAGATCGACAAAAAGGATTCAAGATGCTAGTTTGCCAGTTAGCACCTAAACACCACATCTGACGTTGAAAGAACAAATGATACTTATTGTGCACTACTAAACAACGACACAAACAATTATGAATAATTTCTGCTAAAGAGCTCAGGGGCTAAAACACTCAAGATCTATCCATTAAATCTACCCATGAACACACATTTCACGCAGTTTCTTTTTGACTTCACAACATTTGAGAACAAGTGGACTCCAACTGTCTGTATCAAATCACAGCACCACTGGACACTATCATTATTAAAGTCAAACTGTCTGGGGAAACTGAAAGAGAACTAAAGAGGATAACTCTGCCTGAATAAGACCCGTCCTCTCTGTCCAAATGCATGCCAAGCCGGCCGATGCTGATGCATGCTTTATCAAATGTGAGCTGACAGCTTGTTAGGGGTCAGTTTGATACAATCACCATCTCAGCTCCGGGCTGGAAGTGATTTGCCTCGGCCCATTATGACATGCGGCAGGGGCTGGTGAACAAACACGCCAGTCGAGCAGGAGGAAGTGGGGAAGCATATCAAACAGCCCTCCTTTTGGAGAAGCTGGGCATCAGAAATGTGCCAAAAATTGCATGTCAGAATGTCAGAGGAAGAAGTGCGCACCAGTGTTAGATCCTTCATTGTGTTCCCAGTCCAATCAGAGTGGAGTTCGTTGACATTTGCTGTGATTTACCTGTCGGCAGCTGTCATGGTAATGACTCAGAAATGCTCTATTGTCCCTCATCCTTTGTAAACACTCATATGAAGTGGTTTGACTGACAGGAGCAATAGGGGTTAAACGTGTGCAGAGAGTGATGTGAACATTAGAGCTTGGACTCATATTGACAGTAGAATTTATAATGAATATCCAGCTACTTTATAAACAAATACCCCAAATAGTCCAATCAATCCAACTCTAACATGGGCCCCACCCAGGAGAAACTGCAATAGTAATGTGTCATAGTTTGTATTGGTTTTAATACCCTCCTGCATCATATATTAAAAGTACACCTTCATGGATTTAGTGGAACGTTCATTTTTAAAGTCAAAATCGAAGTTTCAACATTTCACATGGTCTGGGTAAAATGATGTTAATATTGGAGGGTCTATGTACACCTATCCAACGTATTTGGTGAAATCCAGCACTTGGGTGATTGTGGTGTCAGAAACCTTAAAAAAAAGAAGTCCTTAATGTCGGCATGATACGCAGCTTGTTGCTGTTATAAGGAAAAAGTGGTGGGACAAGGACAAAAGTTAAGGCAGTGTATGTCCGAGTGGGGCGAGCGGGAGGGGTACTAACACTGGAGAGAGCGGTGTTCGCATCCCCTAAGATTCTTAAGCCAAACCCTGTTCTTTGTTTCCTAAACCTAACCACGTGTCTTTGATACCTGAACCTAACCACATATTTTTGTTGCCTAAACCTAACCACATGTTTCTGTTGGCTAAATCTAACCATGTGCTTTTGTTGCCAAAACCTAACCACATGTGTTTGTTGTTGAAGAAAAAAAACGTCAATTCACGGTGTTGTACCGACGTAGTGCGTTTTGAAAGAGACTTTATATAAACGTTCATTTCCTGTGTGTGTATTTTGAAAGAAGACAATGCATGTAACAGGCAGAACTTGACACGGCGTCCCAGAATGTCAACAACCAAGGCACCCAGAGTACCTTTCGTGTCGTATGTGGACATGGAAAATCCATGACCAAACGTCATTATGTGACAAGGTTGGAGTGAGAATGTTTTGACTACCAATAACCAAATTCTCCACTTAACGTTTCTGCCACACTCCTGCTATTAGTGTATCCACATCTAAACTGGGTATAAACTTCATATATATTTAGTATCTATAACGTCATCATTCATTGTGAGTTTGAGAGTTATGTAGGGGATCGTCGTGCAGAGAGGTGAAGGGTTGGGTTAACGGAAGTGTGTGTGAGCTGTCTGGTTCTATGAGCAACTTTTCAACTCTATTCTATTCTTTTCTATTCAACTATTCTATCAGCATCTTAACTCTTATCATCATCTAATTTACTTAAATTTAAAGAAATTGCAAAAGCAATATGGAACGCTGTGTCTCATGATAATGCACCAGAATGGATATCCTGTAGGCCTTAGATGGGATGTAACAGTAAACACATACAGTGCAATAGTGGAAACTTCTATTGGTTATGGTCAAAAACATTATAGGAAACTGTTGGTGATCGTGTTTTATGGGTCCAGGTCAGAATTTTCACTAATTGGTGTCATCCGAGATGACAAATTCTAGTTGGTATTATGAAAAACTTGTTATCTCTAGACCTCACAACCTTCAATGGCAACAACAGTTGAACCGAAGAATGAAAAAACCAAGGCATGTTTCAAGCAGTCTGACTGCTGACCATGCATCATGGTTTTCATGGACAAACAAATTTGTATGTGCAGAAAATTGAATGATAATATGCTTTGTAACCTCATTTTACTGACTTTTCTTGGATTCAAAAAAAAGGTCATTTTGGGCTAAAGGTACCCCCTAATTGCACATCAGGAGATCATATCTGATGGTTATATGTGAAAGAACATCATAAAAAACATGTTCAGAGGCAGAGATATGCACTTCTTTGTGTGATGCTGTGACAAAGTGGCCCCAGATTTCGAGCCCTGAATTTCCCTTGATCCACTAAGTGTATAATGGTATACCTTTAATATGTCATTTTGATGTCCCAAGAGATAACAAAAAACCCTGAATGATTGGTATTGCAATTTTTCCTGGGTCAAACCACAGATTGACTGGATTATAAAGCATCTGTGTTTATACTATAAGACTACACTTGGTGGTGCAGCTGACTTACAGTGTGATATTAATAACAGTGTACACAATACCAACATATGGACTGTCTGCAGACTAACAAGGAATAATGTAAAGGCGAGAAACAACCTTTAACATTCACTGTAAACACAATCTTGTTAGCTTTTTCCAGCTCTCATATGTAGGATTAAAACTTACGCAGCTCTGCCCTCCCCATTGTTCAGACATGTCATTAGATCGGTTACAGAGCAGGGTATTATGGGAGCAGAGTGACAGATGGAACAGGGAGACTGGTGCTCTCTACGGTGGGTGGACTCAGTGAGTGTACTGGCAGTGCCAGGATTGCTGTGTTTCCACTCTGCTGCCCCGGGCCATGGAGAGCGACCAGCAGGTG